GAAGAAGAAGAATACCTCGGTGTAAGCATCGATGGCGGCCCCAAAACGGTCTTTCTTGAAGTAAGTGTTGCCGTTAATTCGGAGTTGCTCAGCTTGTTTCGCCGCCGCAGCGTTTGGTCCCATTTCGCCCAATTTTCTCTCTTTCTAGAAAATTCTATCGCTCGATAATGGATGTATACAAATAGTGTGTTAAATGCGTGAAAATAAAAATATATAATACGTAAAAATGTTTGTGGTTGTGTTTTTGGATTGGTGAGTTATGGAGAGAGAAGGGGAAATGATCCAGAATTTTCCAGGGATTGAAGAAGGAGGAGCGAGGGAAAAGAAACAAGAAAGAGGAAAGAGGTAACACAAAGAACAACGTGTTGAAGAAGGTGTCGCTGTTGACTCACTTGCATTTCTTTGTCAAAAGAATACTAATTGTAAGGTTTGGTCTCATTGGGCAGATGTTAGATACACAATCTTGGATTTGTTCTGCTGTCAAAATATAACAGGCTAATTTTTTTTCTTTTCTAAATTTTTTATCTAATTTAATCTTTCCATTTAAAAATAGGTCAATTTCATTTTTTAATTAAATTTTATTAAATTTATTTTCATCAAAAATTAAAAGAAAAATTTAATCCTATGTAATAATAACACTAATGTCTCAAAAACACTTTTTATTATTAATAGTTAAAATCTATCAAAGTCATAAATAAATGAAAGTGCATTTATACATTATTTAAGAAACAATTTATGTTGTGATCTCATCACAAATGTTTCTATTTGATAAATTTGTTGGGTTTTAAGATAGTTATTTGTGTTTTCAAAACACAAAAAAAGATGAATAAGTTATTAAACATGTGCAAATAAATTATAAAATTGATCAAAGAATTAGATAATTGGTCAACAAAATTGATTATTTTAATGTCGTTTTTATTTTTTTTACAAATAAAAAAAATCTAAAATATATGAAATGAGCTTCTTATTTTAGATCAATGTAATTGAAACTTTTTTTTCTTGTACTTTTATGTATGTATATCAACAAATTAATAATTTTAGGATAAATATTAGGTAGGGTATGCTAAGGATGACAATGGAGGAACACTTGTACTCGTTTTCATCTAATAAAATGATTTTATCATGTATAAACATATATTTGAAGGCTTTTTTTTCAGCCATGGAGATTTTGTATTTTTAATTTTTTTTTAATTTTAAATAAAATCATTTAAAAATAATATTTTTTAAATATAAAGTTAAATAAAATAAAGCAATTTTAAAATGTAATTTAAATAAAGTATTAATGTAAAAAATTAAATTTTTAAAAAGTACTTAAAAATTACGTCATAAATAAAGTAAAAAGTTTAAAAATTATTTTTTAAAAATTAATTTCAATTTTATAAACCTAAATAAAAATATTTTAAAAAATATGTATATATAAATTTAAATTGTAAACAATATTTTAATGATTAATATTTTCTCATCAATAATTATATTTTAATCATTTGATCTTCTTAAAATATTTAAATAAAATTTTCTAACAATACTAATGTGCACTAGGTACATGTAGATTGAATATTGTGATACTGTTTATTTTTTTAACAATTGAATAATTAAAATAGCATTTTAAAATATTTATTTAATATTCATTATAAATTTTTCTTACAATGTGTGCAGCTACATCACCATGGCAATAAAATTGATAAAGAAAAAGGCATAAAATTGTATAAGAAATTTATCTCTTGCCATGGTTTTAGTTCTAATTCATTCAAAGTCCAACTTTACCAAATCTTAATAGACTTTTTATCCAAAACTAAGAACAACGGTAAGGCTAATTGTTTTGCATTCTTGAGAATTTTAAGTGAGAAGAGAAGTAACAGAAGTCTTTAGGCTTCAAAAAATTCTTACGAAGAAGTTTTAACACACAAGATGTAGTTGTATTGCTTCTATTATTTTCACTAGTGTAGTTAGGGAAAATGACAGTATTTATTTTTGTCCATAGACAACGGTTCTTGAACCGAGACATATACAAGCGAGGCAAAAAATTTATACTTTTATGTCTCGATTGTGAACCAAGGCAAAAAGGTGAAAGATTTCGCTTCGATTCAAAGTTAACTGAAGTAGTAGAGTTTTTTTATTTTTTTTTAATTTTTTGCAAGACTTTATGCATCGGTTCCCTCTGAACCGAGACAGTATGTTCATCCTATCCAGTTAATCCATCAAGCCCTTTCATGCCAATGATGACCTGAATACAATCTTCCACTACTTAATTCTCTACCAATCAATATTGATGGAAGAGTGGCTCCGAGAAGTGACTGAAGGCACGATGCGGACCCTTGAAGCTTCTTCCAAAGAGAAAGATAGAAATACGCAATGGAAAGTAGACAAAGCTCTAAATCGAGAGTTAATCAAGAGATAACTCGAGAAAACCCTAAATAATGGACAAACCCTAAATCGAACGGTGGAAACACTAACCGGACACGAAGAAACCCTAAATTGGTGAGGAGACTCAATATAAATCGATTAATCGGTTCAAATGACTGATTGAATGGTAGAAAAGAAGGATGAACAGAGGATAAGGTTTGTTCGATGGAAAATGTGGAAAATATTGTTTCAATCGATGAAATCGAAGGAAACCTAAGAAAGAGGTGTTTTGGGCTTAGAAACTCGAAAAATAGAGAGGAAGCAAAGATCTGTAGATGAGATGGTTGAAGCTAGGGTTTGCAGCGAAATTACCTTAAGGTACGAGTTGGGGTTGAAAAGAGAAATGGAATCTCACGAGGCAATGATAGGTAGAGGATGCGAAGGAGTGTGATTCTATGAATAGAATTGTGATGCACAAATGAAGAATCCTCTCTCTGATGCGCAAGAGAGTAATTGAAAATGAAGGAGGTGGCGAGGCGTTGATGGCACATGCACAAGGAAGAAGTAGCTCTGCTGACGCATGTGCCACAGAGCTGAAGTGAAGTGGTGGTAAGTTGATGCATGGCCAACATCTTCATTCTTCCATCAAACTCCAAATCGCGTTGTCACTTTTTCCTGCATCAAACAAACCTATAGAGACAAATCCCTGGCCAAAATTTGATTTAATCAGATTCAAGTTTATTTCATTTCCCTTTTTGAATCCAATCATAAAAGAAAATACAAGACAAGGGTTTCCCACTATCTGTGGTTTCTCCCATACTATTGCCATCATCCACCGCTTCCAAGGAACTCCGTTCAATTCTTCTCTTCGCATCTTGCCACCATTGACACCATCTTCTCTACTCGTCAAACGCCTTAGATCGGCGAGCCTCCCATCATCGTCGTCGCGGTACTCGTCTTTACCATCGTGTCTCCCCTCCGCTTTCGACGCCGGCCACCATTGTCATCCTTACCGGAGCGCAAGCTGCTGCAATGGAGGAAAGAGAAGGATTCCCCGATTGAATCGGTGAAATGGAGCGAGAAAGTGTTTTGTTCGGTCAAAAACGAAGGAAAAGGTGTGAGAAGGATGAAAATGGTGTTAGTCGAAGTTTCAATCGGTGAGTTCAAAGGCAGGATGCATTCAACCGATAGGAATGAAAGAAATCAATGGTTTAAACGGCCAAAAATGGAGAAAATTGGGTAAGTGATGATGAACCCTAGCAAAGGCCGAAGATAGGGTTTCAGGAGAGGCTATGCTGTGAGAATGGAAATGTCTCGTGAAGGCACTGGAAGCAATGAAGTAATACATACACTGACTCGGTTATACCCTTAACTGAAGTAATACATTTCTACTGCCTCGCTTCCTTCCTCCAACTGATGCCTATACACAGATTATACGTTTCGGGTGGTTTCTAACCGAGATAATATGACTATTATGCCTCGGTTTCTGTTGAATCGAGACCTATAAATTTAAATGCTTTGAGTTTGTGTAGATCGGGACGTATTAGCCGCGTCAGAAAATTTTTTTTTACTAGTGTTTAAAGTATTTATATAAGTGAAAAAAGAAGACTTTTAGATTTAATTTATTATATGTATGTTTTAGGCTTGGGTTTGAATAGTTAGCGTAAAATTGATTTAAATAAGGTAAGTGTAGATAGTGATTGAAAGAAGTTTTCTATAACAAAAATGTTAATATTTAAATAGTGTGTGTTTATAACATTTGGTCATCACCTAGAACTTATATTGATGTATACTTATTTCAGTTATGGGCTTTTGATATTGTTTTTTTCATTTCCAACACAAAGGGTCAATCTCGGAGCACCAAATTCTCACATGTGTTGCATTGGATAGATGTGAAAGTAGGGTACCGTGAATATGGATATGGTTAGTTTTTTTTTTTTTAATTTTAATTTTTTTTCTTATGGGTTGTTGACAAATTTACCAGGTTGTTGTTGATGTTGTGTCAAATTCATCAATTAATCTAACAAATTCATAAAGTTTATGTTTAATTTAGATTTATTTTTGTGTATTTTGAATCTTAAATATCTATAAAATAATATTTTATTTTAATTTTTAAAATTATTTATGATCATTATTATGTAATAAATCTTATAAATCAGTAAACTTTTAACTTGGATTATTTTAACAAATAATTCATTCTCCCCACCAGAAATTAACAACCAGTCATTATCCTGGTGGAAAGTTTGTTGTTCACGAGTACATGTAAAAAATGACCTCATGTGCACCTCCATTGATGCATTTACAATGTTCACAACAATGTGGCTTTGACATGTGAATTGGGTCACTTCAAGTCCTAAAAGACCACATGATAATCATGCTTCACATTACACTTAGACAACTTCCATTGCTGCTTTATCATCTTGCTTTCTTTATGAGTGTGTTCAACTATTCAACTGTTTACAAATTAGGTTAAAAGATGGTGCGTGTGTTCATTCCATTGAGCCTCATAAAGCAACGAACGTAGCAGTTATTTTGCATGAATAGTTTATGTACCTTTAAGACAAGTTAAGATCTTACACGTTAGCTTTATGAAAAATTATAAAAATTTGAGGTTTTCGTGTCAAAGTTCACACCTTTCTTTGTGCGCAGACATGTTTGATCGTGATGAGCAAGAAAAATGGAATGCACGGTTTCTGTTGATGATCGTCATCAAACTCGTAAATACGCATATACAATTGGAAAACTAAAATTAAAAAAAGTTTAAAAATAATTTTAATTGGACAACTAAAGTAATTTCCCAAAATGATGAAAAAATAATTAAAACAACTCAATTTACGTATAAAGTTAAAACAACGTTACAATTAATTAAAGAAGGTTTTGTAGAATGTAAATTGAATAATCATAAACAATATAAATGTAAGGTGTTTGAAAATAAACTATGGTAAATGCTAAAATGATTCAAGAATTAAATCAAGAGAAAACATATATTTAAACCGATATTGTATCTTCTTTTTTAGAAAACAGAGTATCCGAACTTCTAGATGAAGAAAAAATCTATTACGGTAGATTTCAAATAACGACATTGACTTATGTCGTTTTTGAAGATTAAATTTTCAAAATCACATCACACACCATATACGATTTTATTCTTAGCTATATATCAAATAAGTCAATCCGACCGAATTTAACCAAATTGTCTTCAATTAATTATCAAGAAATAATTTGACTGAAATCGTAAATTAACCTACCAAATAAACAATATATTATCATAATTACGACAAATGTTATCTTACGGAATTATTTTAAGAGAGTTTTATTTTTAAAAACTATCAACAAGAGCTAATTCGCATGTGAAGTAATAAAATGTTTACTGAACATTTTTATCATATCAAATATGCCTTTTAGCAGAAAAAGGTGACGAATATACTTGTTATATGAATTTAGTATTTAACTAAATAATTTGTAAACAATGTAAAAACAAAACAATACAATCTGAAAAAAACAGCAATTATATGAATTAATGTCTAACGTACATTAATAATTTTAACTATTAGAATTATATATTTGAGATCTCCAAAATTGAAAGGAAAATAAATTAAGTAATTCATGAATGAGTCTAGACATTTGCCATTTTAATTATACGACAATTAAATGCAAAAAAATTTGCATGCGTGATCTACATTTAGTCTATGTATGAAAGAATATGGAAGTCAAAAAATTAAAAAATCGTCATTCTTCTTGTTATGCTCAGGATTCTCTACGCCATCATCATCATTCGTGGGAAAAAACACTTCGTTCACAAACACTTCCACGTCGTTTTTGCTAAACCCCACTTTGTTCTCAACCTCATTTGTGGGAATATAAGGTGGTCTTGCAATGTGCAACACTTTGTCCCACTTAACCCCTTTGAAGAAATCGTGGCCTTTGATCTCCTCCACTGGGATCCGACGGTCAGGATCTTTTTCCAACAATCTTGAAATTAAATCCCGTAACGCCGTCTTCTCTCCCGTTAACTCTGGCTCTTTAGTTAAGATCCGGTAAAACGTTTCCTTCCTATTTAAGCCTTTAAACGGCGTCGTTCCGTACAGCATCTCGTACAACAAGATGCCGTATGACCACCAATCAACGCTAAAACCGTGACCTTTCCCTGATAAGATTTCGGGTGCCACGTATTCTTCTGTTCCAACGAACGAGTTTGATTTCTCAACCGAGTCAGACTCCGTGTGACGCACTGAGTCGACTGTACTTAGCTGGGGCTCCGAGTCCGAGTCCCACGGCGAGATGCCGGAGTTACAAAAACTGTATATACGAGTTAATCGTTGTTGTTTCCTTGAACGTTTCTCCGAGTTAGGACTCGGGGTCGAGTTTTGACTCAGTGAGTGAGGGGATTTAGGGTTTAGCTTTTTGGAGAGATCAAAATCGACAAGCATTATGTGGCCGTTTTCTTGAATCATCACATTTTCTGGCTTCAAATTCTTTCCACTTTCCCCTTTCGTTAAATATTCCAATGCAAGCACCAATTCTACAGCGTAAAACCTACAATTGATAAAAAAAAAAACATCAGATAATTCTCTTTTTATGCTTCGGTTTTTATGAAAATAAAAGAAAAACTACGTCCATTTTCTTTCCTTGTTATTTAATTATAAGACTATTTTTTAATTATATAATTAATTCATTTTTAAAAAATTATTTATAAATATTATAAATACCAAAGAAGGAGTAAATACTTTTTTCTTTTCTTTACTTTCTTTTTTATAGAATAACTGGTACCATAAAAAGAATAAAATTTCTTAGTGTTTTTTTCTTTCTGACCTAACTTTCTCACAAAAATTAGGAAGAAAAGATGTAAGTGAACAGTGGGCGACCGAATAGGACAAGCACCGATTCGGTCTGTGTTGGTTGGGCAAACAGCAAATAAATGATAGACAGCTTTTTTCATTCTATGTTTTCAAATAGAAGTCTTGTTTAACACTGCGTAAAAACATCGAACGTCTTAATGCCATCACTTTTCCCTTATTATATTTAATATTTCATGTGAAACATATATCTTCTAGCTTATATCAATTTAACATAACTAAACATAGTTTAAGTATGAAAAAGACTAATTATTAAAAAGAAAAATTTGTGTAACATTAACTCAAAATTCTATAACAACTATGTACTGAATTCATGAATTTACGAATCAAAGAAATAGATAATCCGGTATTTGAGAAATTGTTGAAATGGTTTCATAATTTTTTAGGTGAATTTGTAAAAAACATAATAATTTAAAGAAAAACCAATGTTTTCTTAGAAAGATCCGACATAATCAATATAACTATTTTGCACAATAATTAATGTACAAAAACAATAACATAACATTCATGTTCATATTGATATTCATACTATATATGCGCCTAAAAGTTTTACTGAAAACAGATTCTGATTACAAAATTTATTATTTTACATTTTTTTTTCTTATTTGTAAGATTTAAATATTAACAAAAACGTTTACCTTTCTTTTATCAAACTCAATTTATATCTTACACTCATTATTTCACTGTTATTTACAAAATTTAATATAGCATTATTTATCATTTATACTTCTATTTTTTTCAGCTAACTTTTTATTAAATTACGTATATTAATTAATAAAAAATAGAAATTTATGAATATTGCATCAGGATAAAAAGATATTTATTATATGTATTAACTTCTCTAAAATAACCTTTAAAAAGAGGAGTTCAAAAACAACTAATTTGATCACACGTTATTTCAGAAGTGAAAAAAAAAAAAAGTAAAACAAAAATGAACTACGAACATTTTCATTCTTCTAAGCTGAATTCTGGTCAACCTAACTGGGAAATGAAAGTTCAGAACTCGGAGATTCTCTTCTTCGCAAGGTTTCGTTTTTACTTTAACCAAACAGAAGAAAATGAAACGAAGAAAAGGTATTATTCTAACGTACCTGATGGTGTCATCGGAGAACATTTTCTCAGTCTGTTTCTTCCTGAGAGAGTGGAGCGTGCCACCATGGCAGTAATCGATGGCGAACGCAATCACTTTCTCCGTTTCAAGAACGCCTCTAAGCCTCGGCAAGAGCGGATGATCGAAACGACGGAGCACTTCCTCTTCAAACGACACTCCCACTCTCTCGTCCTTCTTTCTCGTTCTTTTCTGCGCAATCAGCGCCTTCGACATCACTTTCAGTGCCACGCACTCTCCCGACCGCCGGCCACCGGCGCGAGCCAGGAACACCACGCCTTTGAGCGCCGCGCCCCACGGCGGAGACCACTGTCATGTCCTCGAAATTAAGCGACCGATCGGAGGTGCTTTCGCCGTCGCCCATGGTATGGGTTACAGGAAACCGAATGAGCTGGTGAATGTTTTCTTCTTTTTTCAGTTGGGATTTAGGTTGACGGTGTTGTAGAGGTTTTATAGGGCGTGCGTGAACGGTGGGTGCATACTTTTACTTCCTTTATTTTTTGCTTGCGGTCCAAGATTTTTGCGATTGAATGGACTTTTGTGAAGGTTGCGTGATCGTCGGACACGTGTACAAAACGACGTCACTGTTGACGTGTTATTGTGAAGGAGAGCGAAACTGCGGGAACGTGACTAAAACGCGTTTGGATTCTAGACTGTGACACTGTTCGGTGTTTTTTGTTTCAATTCACATGTCGATAGATCTTATAAACACTCACACTATTAAGTAAAACATGGTTTAGTAGTGTCTCAACATAATATGATATAAGTTTAACACATTAAAAATTTTATAAAAAACAGTAATTATTTTAAGTTGATAATGATTTATTTCTAAAATAATTATTATGTCCTTAAATTATAAAACAAAAATATAAATTAGTATATGAATTCTACAACTTTTGATCATGTATTGACTCAAATATATTATCTTCCCTATCCTTTTAATAAACCATAAAACTTATATAATTTTGATCAAATTTAAAACATCTTTTATAACTACCTTTCTTTTGTTTAGTGATATTTTTCTTTTGAATAACTAAGTTTTACTTAATGTCTCTGCCTTTGTTAAATGATTATTTATTTTAAGAGCTAAATTGTTTAATCTCTCTTATATTTATAAAAAAAAAAAGAAAAAATACAGTTCATGATTTAAGCATATTAATTATGATGAGACATAAATAGAAAAATAATCTTGTAGAAAAACGCAGAGAAATTTAAAACAATTTATTTTATATCACAGAAGTTAATTAAATAAAGTAGTTTATCAATTTCTTACAAATTAATGACATATCTTTTACAGGAGAATAATGTGTAATATTATTTTCTTTATATTTTATAAAATAGAAGACATTTTTATAATTAGTAACAAAGAAAATACCGACATTATTATATGCTGGTTAGAATAATTTCAAATTTTAAGAATTTTTAAATTTTAATTATTTGAAAAGTTAAAATACATGTATGAATTTTTTGAAAAAAAGAACAGTTTCTTTTGCTTGTGTATTTCATAAAAAAACGTAACAAATAGATCAGTTTTACTACTACTACTACTACCGATTTTTTTATTTTTTATTTTTACTTTTTTCTTCTAGAAGTACTTAAAAAAAGTTTATTACAAACTTACTCATTCTATTCCACCTTAAAGAAAGGAAATAAGGTAGTTTTGCAAGCATTTTCTTCCTTTTTACCAAGGAAATGGTCTTTAACTTTGTTGTTAAGTTAGACCACACCACACTTTTCTTCTTTCTTTTCTTTTAAAATATTATTCTATGACATATTCAATCTGTTCACACTAAACCATTAAATCCGTCACAATTATTTTTTATTATTTTTTTAATCCACATCTTAAATTATATATATAAACATTGTTATGTTATAAGAAAATAATTTTAGTCAAACTGGGAGCATGGAAAATGCACTAGACATGAAGCAGAGCCTCTTGTTTATAACTATAATAAAAAAAATGCAGCATTCCATGGATGATGATGACATAATTAATTTTTTAAATCATCTCACAACTCAGAATCTCAGATGAAATAATTAGCGCAGGGATGTGATGAGAATATAATGTTCATCTTTATATTCATATTTTTAAAGAAAATATCTATTTTTTATGAATAAATAGGTATAACTTAATTAAACCAAACTTACTTAAAAACATAAATACGTTTTTTTAACTGAACCAAGTCATATATATACATGATCGAAACATAGACCAAATTAATAAAATGATTTTTTTTAAAAGAAATAAACTAAATAACTTCACGAAAACAAATTTGTTATAACTTAATTGTTTATATAGAGTGGTTACATTAAAAAAATTATTTTTGCAAATCCCTAATCTTTATATTAATAGAAATTTTATTATTATTTTTTATTATGTAACTAATCTAATATCTATATTTATGTTAAGAGTTAAATTCTTGTATTTGAAAATGTTAAAACCTAGTCAGAACATACATTTTGAAGTGAAAAGAAGAAAACTGAAACTTATATTGGAAATGAGAGTAAAGATTTAGAAAATTATCATTGGTGATGAGGGAAAATAATTCCATATCCAAGAGTTCTCTTTTAGATATCTCATAATTATCTAAGTAGCTAAGAGATGTGATTGTTTAAGATCATTCATGAATCTACTAATAAGTCCAACATTAAGATCAATTTTTGGTCTGTGACAAATAAACCTCAAGCTACCAACGATACGCCTGAACAAAGTTATTCCATCAACAGAAGCCTTGTTTTTACTCCTTATCCGTTTTATATTTTACTTAGATGGAGTTTTTGCAAGATTACACTCCATCATATTACATAAACTTATTTAGTAACCCTGAAATGTACTTCCTCTTGTGCATAGCAACTCCCGTTTCAATATAGGCAAACTCCAATCCCAAAAAAAAATATGATAGGATTACCAAATATCATCCACGTATAAGAAAATAAGAAGAAATTTAGTGATACTCATAATCTTAAAATATACACCATGTTTAAATGAACATTTCTAGATGTTAGTATTTTGAGGTTGTGAAGGAATAGTTGAGGGGATATAGAAAATGTAGAGATAGTAAAATGTGAAAGTAGTAACTAGAATAAGTGTATTTTGTAGTTATCTTAGTTGTGATATTTTCTTAGCTATAATAGATGTTGTCTTACATTAAATGGTAGAGTACATGGGTATTGACTTATAGATTATTCTAGAAAGAAATAGTCACAACTTATATACAACTTATATGGAATGTTCTAGATTTTTATCTAGGTAAAATATTCTTGATTTTTTTTTCTTCCTATCTTAGGTTTTTCTAATATTCTATAATTTGTATTACATTTTCTATTTTTAGGATTCTTTTTATTCTTCTAGAATTTGCATTACACCTTAATATTGAAAGCCACATTATGAAGGAAAAGTTCAATCCTTTTGTACCAAACCCTTGATGCCTACTTGAGAGAGAGCCTTCATTAATTTCAAAACCTTATGTTCATCCTCTTTACTTATGAAACCAATAGGCTGAGTAATGAAAACTTCGTTATTGAATGCTTTATTAAGAAAGATTGATTTTACATCCAGCTACCATAACTCCCAAATCTTTTAATTAGAGAAAGAAATAATCAATCTTAAAGTTTCCAATCTAGCCACTTGGGCAAATACCTTGGAGTAATGTATCTCTTCCTTCTACATGAATACTTTGGCTACTAGTCTAGCTTTATGCTTTGAAACTTAGCTTTTTAGTATGGGTTTCACTTTGAAAACCCTCTTAACACCAATAGTAACCTTGTTCTGTGATAATTCTACCACTTTCCATGTATGATTCTTTTCAATACTCCTTAATTCTTCTTTTATAATTGATCTCCACTTTTTCTAGTGATTTCTTCATCAAAGCTAATGGATTCTACATCCACGTGAGTGCCTAGTGTTGAACTAAATCACCATCATATGAGATAACACTATTAGGGTAAACTTGATAATCTGAAAGTTTTGAAGGAAACCTTTTATTTTGTGTAGATTTGCTATTCATTACCCAAGACTCAATAGTCATTGTTGCTAAGTAGTATCCTCTACAAGATTTCGTCCTACCCATTCAAATCATTTTTTTACAGATTTAGGAAAATTTAAAAGTAGGTGAAAAAAAATTACATTAATGGACAAGTCGTGTAGTCCGTACCAACTTCAAATGAAGAAGTCATATTAGGGTGTACGAATTTAGTTTTGAGCAATGTTAAAAGGTGAAGTCGTGCACTCTCACATGATTTTTGGCATTTGTAATCTATTACAAGAAGTTGTAATCGATTATGTAATGTTGAAATCGTTAGGGGGAGCACGACTTTAGTGTGTAATTGATTACATATTTATTGTAATCGATTACCGGTGGATGTAATTCGAATTACAGGTCATTGTAATCGATTACAATAATGTTGTAATCATATACTAGTGTGAAAAGGTTGTAACAAAGTTTATGTAGTTGTTGATTATGTAGTTGTGGATATTGGGATTTGTGATTTGTGGTTTATATCCTACTACATTATAAGGTATCTAAGCATATAATTAAATTATAATTGATTATGATTTAAGTTTTAAGTAGACAAAGAGAACAAACTAACACTAATAGAAGTAAACAAATTCATCAACTAAAATAGAAGATATTTTATTAATTCATAAAAGTCAGTACAAAAACTTAATAACAAAATAAAAACATAATACAATCAAATTTAAGAGGGTCCCGGTGGCCTAAAGTGATGACGTAGATAATTTATGTCTTCCTCAAGCTGTGTAATTCGAGCATCAATGTTATCAAATCTGTTCCAAATAAATGCTTGAAGATCACATATCTCATTCATAATTTTTGTTAGCATAACATAAGAAGTGTCTTACTTGGGTGTAAATAATGGGCAATCATTATGAATTGATTGAGCAATATCTCGTTTGTGAACCCACTATCCATCTACGTTTTTAATAAAACTAGATGAATAGATAACTTTAATACCAATTTTGAAAGACCTCTTAATTAGTGCTTAAGGCTCATAGTCATGAGGAACTTCAAAGTGATCCATAAATATGGTAATGAGTTGGGGATATGGTAGATAACGCGTAAGGCCTTTTTCATTCGATGTCTGATTAGATGAGTCCAATTAATATCCTTTGAAGTAAAAAGTATTTACATCAAAATTAGATCTTCTTTTATTTCCTATGCAAGGTTAGTCGTACCAGAAACCAAAATTTGACATATAATATAGTGCATTATTCTATTTTCAACCTTCATTAACCTAGCAAGTATTATACATGTAATGTTTGTATACTATACAGAGTGTATCAGTCGGAATTATAGTAAATCGCACATAAATAAATGTCGATCGATCAAAGTAACTTATCGGTTATCATATTTCTATTCTTTGTTATTATCATATTTTATTATTAGAAAAACCATAAAATTAAGTTGGTTAGTTTCCGTAAAAATGAAAAATAAAGTGGGTAGAGTAGTATAATTACCACTTTCTACTTGTATTTTCAGATAAACAAGTCAATTTCTATATTAATTACATTGTAGAAACAATTTTAGTATTCACCCTATATCGTAGGAGTATCTAGATTAATTAAA